CACTCTAGGATAGTGTAGGTGCTGGTGAGATGTTGTCTCGATCAGACTCTTTGACGTAGCTGAGTTGGTTTGGATAAGAACCTTCATACCCTTTTAATTTACCTTGGAAATATTCTAGCGAAACAAAACCACAAATAGAACTATAATTAGTCACTAACTACTAAAAAAATATTTTAAGCATACTAAACCGCATATAAATACAAATTATATTTAGTAGAGAGATACATATCCCCTACGAAAGGAATTATGTTTCTCACCTATAACAACATAGATGAATAGTGAAAGTTGCATACTTCAATACAAGTTCTTCATTCTACCTTGCAGAGTCCCCGTAAGTGAATTGGATTGATGCATCAATCCAAATAATAGTTGGTAAGAAAACAATTGGGTCAAAATAAAAAATTTATTTAGGGATTCAATTAGGCCAAAATACATGCTAAGTAAAGTAGTAAACAAGCAAATGTCATTGTAAACATGTAGAAATTGAAAGAACTTATGCACAAACAACCTAGAGACCACCACCACCATTTTTTTCTTGTTCGTGACCTTTGTAAAAATCTTCACATATGTTCCTTGGCTTGGTTCGTTTCATCTTCGCAATGGTAGGATGAAATTTAAACAGAATATTTGAACAACATTTTCCATAGAGAAACAAAGACGGATGCACCACAACACATTGAGTTGTGGCTCATCTGGACTAGTTCTCTGCTATGGAAGTTTATCAATTCGTGTCATTGTCACCAGACATTGTACATGTATCCATAAGCCAGAGCACCCTCCTGGATTTTCTCCTCTGGTTCTTCTTCACCAAATTCGTCTGCAACATCCGGCACTGGATCAGAGTCGGCCAAAAAGGAATCGAGGGTTGGAATACAACCCAGCCGATTGGATCACCTAACCCAAACTTGCCCCAACATTTGAACCTAAGATGGGTCGCATCACTTTCTGCGATCGGTACAATCTCTCCCACTACTTCATTCCTAAGCACATCAAAGGGGACTATATAAATAGGATCATAGGTATGATCATCAGGTAATTTGGGTCACCTATGCCACCATTATCTCTGAAGTGATGATTGAAATCAAAGAAGTAAGGGTCGTGATTATGCTTTTTAGAATAATCACGACACTCGAAATAGATGACCTCTGGCCTGCTCGGGTGACCCCCCCCCCCTAATACCCCCAACCGCATCATCTTCCTTCTTCCTCCGCCTATCTTGTTCATCTTATGTCGACACCTGATAATCCAAACTCCATCTATACCCGCCCACCAAGTCCTGGTCCTGTTCTTGTGCCAGCTTCCAGAGAGTAATGAATCCATCTTTACTGTAGGGCGATGGACCTGGGTGTGGAAACTCCATCCCACGCAGAAACCCTAGGGAAACCCCAACCAAGAAATTGTACTTAACAATGTCATTCGACCACAGATGAGAACAATCAACCAAATTGATATGCGGCGGACTCTGATCGCTGAAAGGATCGTAAACAACAACTTTAGCTTGTGCGGTCTTCCAAAACAGCTTCTCCCCTGCAGTTGAATGAGCATTGTCGATGCCAGTATAGGGTGTGGTGGGAGGTATACATGCTTCTTCGTCATCCACTGGCCGATACCCATAACTACAGAACGTCCACTCCCACGACTCAGAGTAGAAGGTGGTCATTGTGAGACCCTTATAACTATTGAAAAAGAAAACTACACGGAATCAAAACTTGAGATTCTGCAGTACACGACTACTACTGCTGCAGTGCTACTGGCATTGTCATAATGAAAGCATGGTTCGCAAACCAATCCAATCAGCGATGCCTCCATCTCGTAACCCACACGGTGAGTTCCAAAGTAGAATGATTGGCCCTGTGTGAGGTGCCGAGGGACCAGAGGGAGCGTAACACAATGCTTCGTAAATGAATTGCAGACAAAGAACCTCATGCGGTACCTGTTCTTAGGTCGAATCCTCCCGCACAGGAGCAAGTCCTTACAGCATGAGATGACTTGGATAGTGTGGCGGTCATCATAGGGAACATTGTTGGAGAGGAAATTCAGAGGAATTATGCTCATCACGATTGATTCGTGTGTTTGGGGTCCATCGAAATAGATCAGAAAAGGCCGACGTTCTGACGGAGGGTGCCGGGATCGGAGTGTCAAGAAGCAGTTTATCCCAATAACTCGAGTTGTTGGAAGAAGTTCAATCGTGGATCATATACCCTTTACTAACACGGAGATGAGCAGGTTCCAACGCTTGCGGACGAATTTGCAGGCACAAACCGATCTGGGTTCGGAAGGAATTGCAGAATGGAGATGGGAGACTATCGGGGAGCTTGCTAATGGGGGGATCTGTTTACGCCTAGAAAGTGCCAGGCGGTTTAGATGAAGAGCAACGAGGGATCCACGTACTTCTTGATATGCGGGCCTCCGTTTCCTGCAGCAAAGGTCCGGGGGCGTTGCCCAGGGACACTCTCCGATGCTTCAATTAGTATAGTGGGATTAATAAAGCGGTTCTGGGAAAATGATGAAGAGAGAGAGAGAGTAAATAGAGAGAGAGATTAGAGAGAGATTAGAGAGAGATTAGAAAGAGATTAGAGAGAGAGTTGGTGAAAATGGCAGCCCTTCTTAAATGTGGTGGTTGTTCCTTATTTATAGCCTGTCCTCCTGACACCTTGTCAGATCCAAAACCTCGTACTCGTTCCCCGAGGTACGCTCACGGCGTTATTTAATGCACTGTCAGTATTCCGGCCCTACCAGCTGTGCCCTCCTGGGCATTAACGCGTTGCGACTGTCGCGACTAGGGATTGGGCTGGCCCTGCTCACGCTTGGGCCTTCTTTCGGCCTTTCCTCCTTTGGGCCACTTCCTATATCCACGGGACCTGATTTAGAGGGTGGTCCATTCCGGCCCAACATTTGTCCCGCAGGCGGGTAAAGCCTCCGGGTTTGGGCGGCTGGTCTTTTATACCCAGGGCGGGATCACCCTCTAAATCACGGAACCGCCTAGGGGAACCCTCCCCCGGACGTCCAATCGGGGGCAGGACGCCTCGGGTCAGTCCTATCCTTTTGTTGCCACGTGTCGGGCGACACGATTTTCCACGGGCTCGAAGTGATCGTTGGCATGATTACCCTATATAGCCCTCCTCTAGGGTTAGCGAACCGTCGCCTCTGGAAACCGCGCCCCCTCATTTAAAAGCCACCAGAGAAATTGACCGAAGGTATTTTTCTCTCATCTTCCTTATTTTGATGCTTTGATTCTCTCGTTTTTCAGCCAGTTGTTCTTCAAATCCTCTCCATTCGACTGTCGCCATTGTTGCAGCGAGTTCCATTTCTTCAAACTACCCGTGCCTGCTTTCATCTCGTTGTTGCTGGGAATGGCTGGAGAAGATGGATCATCGCTTCCTCTGCCCTCTGTTGGCTCTGGGTCCTCTCCGAGCCGGAAGAAGGGCGGCGCCGGCGTCGTCACCGCAGTTTCTAGTCCCGGCGGCTCTGCCACTGCCACCGCTGCCGCCGCCGCACCGGCCAACGCTACTCCTCTGACGATCAATTTGGAGTCGTCGGACACGGTTACAGATCCCATAACCGCCGCCGCTCAAGGTATGCTCCACTTGAACGCTTTATCGCCCTTAAGTACATTTGGTCTTGACTGGGATTTTAGTGAGGTATATTTTGATTTTGGTGGCTCTTGGTCGGATGATGGTCGGTATTTGTTGGGTAGAGTTGAGGATGGGTCATATGAATTGACCGATGTTGCTTTGGGTGTGAGCGTAGAGAATGTAGCACCTAGGGGAGACGCTTCCGCCATGGGGGATAACCTGGCAAGTTTTGATGACGTCTCCTTAGCGAGCGTGAGTTCTGACGAGGAGCTTAGTCTTGATGAGCAAAATTCTCCCGAGCGTCCTGAATCTCCTTCCATTTATCTTTCGGAGGACTCTTCGGATCTTAGCTACTTGGCGGTGGCGGATAACACCTACCACATACGCTTGCATGAGCATATGTGGGGGAAGCGGGAAGTGCCCGCTCGTGCTTTCGAACGAGGGCCCGACAGGTACAGCAAGCTTACGCCCATAACGATGCTTACCCGTCTTAGAAACCACCAGCTCCCTACCGATTGGAAGTACGCCGCACCGTCTCCGACTTCCCGTGCCGGTACCTGTCCGAAAGGCTGGATAACCATATATACCGAGCAGCTTAAGTTGGGTTTGCGTTTCCCCCTTGACCCCCTTATCACGCAAACGCTTCTGTGCTTGAATTGCACGCTCGGTCGGTTGTCACCCACCATCATCTTTCACGCGTGTGCCTACAAGCTGGCGTGTCAAAGGCTCGGAGTTGAACCATCATTTGCCGCCTTCCGGTTTATATACGGCCTCCGGCGGGTTTCCAACGTCTGGTCTTTTGGGAGGCGGGACAAAGCCTACGGTTTTGTAACCGGGACTCCCAAGCTTGATAATGCCTGGTTTAAAGACTTTTTCTATGCCAAGCCTACTTCAAAATGGTATACGGGTGACAAGGAGCCTCGGACGGGTTACGCCTACGGCCGGAAAGAAAATTGGGATGCAAAGCTCTGGTCGTTGGATTCTCAAAAGGACCACGCCGCTCGACTTGCTGATTTCTCTCCCTTTAACTTGAAGCCTGGGGGGAATGACTCTATGAGGTCAATTCTGATTGAGCTCTTTGGAGATGGTCAGTAGCACCATTGATACGCTTCCCATTTATAACTGTGCCTGTATTCTTTGTTTCTGACGCTCTTTTTTTTTTTTTTAGCCATGCACTTCGGGAGCGTGGCGATGATGGCGCGGCCTCCCAGGCGCGGGAAGCTCACTGCTTCCAAGGCGGGAACCACTTCCCAGGGCCCTTCGAAAACCGGACCCTCTGTTAGCGCCTCTGCACCTCCCAAGGCGATCGTCCCTCTGAGTAAGTCCCCTCCATCTGCTGTGCAAACCACACTCGCCAGCGGGGCATGCGGGTTAATGACCGTGCAAGCCAGTGCTGAGCCTACGCGTAAGCATCCGGGGAAGCGGGTTGCTGAAAGTCCCGCGGGCGAAAATGATGAGGGTCGCAAGAAGACGAAGGCAACTTCGCTGACCGAGACAGTGGATTTCTCTCCCCACTCCTCCCTGAGGGAGGATTGTGCCCGCCGGATGCTTCACGAGTTATCCGGTAAGCTTCTCGTCCCTCCTGAGTATACGGAAGCGGAAGATCATTCGACCAGGCACTGGGTGGGGACCGCTGCCCGCTTCCTTTTGGCGGTAAGTATAATAATAATTGTTTTTTTTTAATAATATCCTTGTGCGTAATTTGACGGGGAGAATTACTTTTGCCCGTAGGCTGGCGTTGGCTTGTCCCAAATTGGGATGACCAACGAGAAGCTCCACATGGCAAGCTTGCGCGACGAAGTGGAGGCGGAAAAACTGCGAAAGCGGATCGGGGAGCTGGAGGCGGAGTCTCTCAAGGGGCGGACTGCTTGCCGGGCGGAAGCTAAGGCCGAGTTAGAGAAGGAGTTTGCTGACACCATCAAGGAGCTTCGTGCGGACCTGTCCCGTGGAGTTCAGAAGGTGAACACACTGATGGCTGGCAAGGAGGGTCTGGAAGCGGAAGTGACCCGCCTACGCGGTCGCGTGGATGAGCTGGAGAAGATCCAAATGGAAAACGAACTTAGGCACAAAACTGAAGTCGACGCTGCTGCCAAGTCTGCTGTGGCATCCTACCTGCTATCCCCCGCCTTCCGTAAGATTGATGATGCCAAGCGATCCAAGGCCATTTCCGATACGGTTGCTGCTATCCGCCATCTGTTCCGTCGTGAACACCCCTATATGGCGTGGGATACGGATTCCGTGTGGGACGCTGTGGTGGAATGGGGATCTGCTGAAGGGGACGTCAACTCGGAGAATGTCATCCAGGCGGATGCGGGAGGTGACGAGGAGAGTTCCCGCGGTGGAGATAACTCTTAGGCCGTTGTGTTTTCCTCTGTCTTGAAGTCGAGTTTGTCCTCGACTGTAAACTTGAAGTCTGTAATAACCCCCTCCCCTTTTTTTTTGTTTTGCTAAGTGTTGGTCTGCGTCTATGACATTGGCCGCCCTTGGGCGGGCTTTTCTATTTTAGTTTACTCTTTCTTTCACACCGCCATCCGTGCTTGACTTCTTTGCCTATCTTCTTTGTGTTCAGACCGAGCCCGTGCCTCCCAAGGCGGGTCGCAGGCGGATTATTCTGCTTCGTGGTAGGGTTTTATGAATAACCCATGTCCCGGGACGCGTTTTTAGTGGGATCTCGCTCTACCTTCGTGGTGGCGTATTAGGAGCGAGTCCGTGCCTCTCAAGGCGGGTCGCGGGCGGGTTATTCTGCTTCGTGGTAGCGTTTTATGAATAACCCATGTCCCGGGACGCGTTTTTTGTAGGATCTCGCTATGCCCTCGTGGTGGCGTATTAGGAGCGAATCCGTGCCTCTCAAGGCGGGTCGCGGGCGGGTTATTCTGCTTCTTGGTAGCGTTTTATGAATAACCCATGTCCCGGGACACGTTTTTAGTGGGATCTCGCTCTGCCTTCGTGGTGGCGTATTAGGAGCGAGTCCGTGCCTCTCAAGGAGGGTCGCGGGCGGGTTATTCTGCTTCGTGGTAGCTTTTTATGAATAACCCATGTCCCGGGACGCGTTTTTGGTGGGATCTCGCTCTGCCTTCGTGGTGGCGTATTAGGAGCGAGTCCGTGCCTCTCAAGGCGGGTCGCGGGCGGGTTATTCTGCTTCGCGGAAGCGTTTTATGAATAACCCATGTCCCGGGACGCGTTTTTAGCGGGATCTCGCTCTGCCTTCGTGGTGGCGTATTAGGAGCGAGTCTGTGCCTCTCAAGGCGGGTCGCGGGCGGGTTATTCTGCTTCGTGGTAGCGTTTTATGAATAACCCATGTCCCAGGACACGTTTTTGGTGGGATCTCGCTCTGCCCTCGTGGTGGCGTATTAGGAGCGAGTCCGTGCCTCTCAAGGCGGGTCGCGGGCGGGTTATTCTACTTCGTGGTAGCGTTTTATGAATAACCCATGTCCCGGGACGCGTTTTTAGTGGGATCTCGCTCTGCCCTCGTGGTGGCGTATTAGGAGCGAGTCCGTGCCTCTCAAGGCGGGTCGCGGGCGGGTTATTCTGCTTCGTGGTAGCTTTTTATGAATAACCCATGTCCCTGGACGCGTTTTTGGTGGGATCTCGCTCTGCCTTCGTGGTGGCGTATTAGGAGCGAGTCCGTGCCTCTCAAGGCGGGTCGCGGGCGGGTTATTCTGCTTCGTGGTAGCGTTTTATGAATAACTCATGTCCCGGGACGCGTTTTTAGTGGGATCTCGCTTTGCCTTCGTGGTGGCGTATTAGGAGCGAGTCCGTGCCTCAGGTCATGAGGAGTAATCCCAAGATTGGAGAGCTATGAAGATGTTTGCATTGAAGATTTCCTAAACAGGGTTACAATTTACTCCGCCGAGTAATACTTGCGCAAGTGCTGCGCGTTCCAAGTCTTGCTTATGGCTTCCCCGCCCATGGTAGCGAGCTTGTAAGTGCTCGGCCCAATTTTGTCGCTTATGAGATAAGGACCTTCCCAGTTTGCAGCTAGCTTCCCATGTCTTTCTTTCTCTCTTTTCTCGAACATTCTCTTGAGTACCATATCGCCCTCCTCCAGAGGTCGAGGGCGCACCTTGGCATTGTATGCCTTTGCCACTTTTTCCTTCTCAACGATTATGCGCGTTAGAGCCGCCTCTCGCCTTGTTTCTGTCATGTTCAGCTGATGTAGTAGGTTGGCATGGTTCTCTTCCGGATTGTAAGCCCGAATGCGAATCGTTGGGAATTGGACTTCGGTCGGGACGACCGCCTCGCATCCGTATGTGAGGGCGAACGGCGTTTCTCCCGTTGCCGTTTTGTGCGTGGTCCTATGAGCCCAAAGGATATGAGGGAGCTCCGTTGTCCAAGCGCCTTTCGCCTCGCCCAATCTTCTCTTTAATCCTCGCAAGATCAGCTTGTTGGATGATTTTACTTGGCCATTCGCTTGCGGGAACGCCACCGATGCCAGGCTGAGCGTTATTCCATGTTCTTAGCAGAACTTCTCGAACGGACGGCAGTCGAATTGCGCTCCGTGATCCGTGACGATAGTTTCCGGGATCCCGAAGCGTGTTAGGATGTTGTTGAAGAGGAATTTCTGTATCCGGGCACTAGTGATCGTCTCGAGAGGTTCAGCCTCTATCCACTTGGTGAAGTAGTCGACGGCTACCACCAAATATTTCTTTCCCAGCGGGGCATTCGGAAAGGGTCCCAGAAGGTCCAGTCCCCACTTTGCAAACGGCCATGGCCTTACTATTCCTTTCATTTCCGAGGCGGGAGCGTGGTGCTTGTCCGCGTGTGCTTGGCATGCGTGACAATCTCGCACCATTTTCAGTGCGTCCTTCTTGACCGTGGGCCAATAGTATCCCTGTAAGAGCACAGCCTTTTCGAGGCTCCGCGGCCCGATATGAGTGGCGCACGTTCCCATGTGTATTGTCTTCAGAGCTTCCTCTGATTCCTCCTTCCTTAGACACTTCAAGTATGCGCCCGTGAACGAGCGTTTATACAGTTCTTCCCCCACTATGGTGTACCGTGTGGCCTTCCGTCGTAGAGCTTTGGCCGCCGCCGCATCACACGGAACTTCGTCTCGCTCAAGAAAATCGAGAAGTTCGCTTCTCCAATCCTGACAGTTTACGCTCGCCGCATTGTCTATGAACGCTACTTCCTTCATTACTGTGACTTGTCTCTCACCTTCAAAGTCCATGGCGGTGGCCAGTTTGGATAACGCATCAGCGTGCGCGTTTCCCTCCCGCCTGACGTGTTCCAACATCCAATTCTCCATCTGTGCCAGTGCCCCCTGAGCTTTCCCGGCTAGCCTTGCCAGCTCTTCCTCCTTAATCTCGAAGTTCCCATTGATTTGGCCTACCACCAGTGATGAATCCGAGTAAATTTTTACCTTCTTGGCTCCCATTCCCGAGATTAATTTTATCCCGTTTATTAGCGCTTCGTACTCAGCCACATTATTGGTTTTCAGGGCTTCAAAACGCATGGCAACCTCGTGAACCACTCCATCCGGGGTTTCGACGACGATCCCCGCTCCTGCACCTCCTTTGCCTGCAGCCCCGTCGACTGACAGCTTCCACGTTTCATCTTCTTTATTGATTCCCTCATCTGTAGTGAAACCCTCAACGACAAAATCGGCCAATACTTGGGCCTTCACTGCTGGTCGGGGGGCGTAGGAGATATCATGTTCACTCAACTCCACCGCCCACTTCGTCATTCTGCCTGAGGCGTCCATCCCTTGTAGTATTTTCTTGAGCGGTAGGTTGGACAGAACGGTGATCGGGTGACTCTGAAAATAGGGTCGTAACTTCCGCGCTGTCATCGCCACCGCCAGGACCGCCTTTTCAACCACCAAATACCTTGTTTCCGCCGGAAGTAACGCTTTGCTTACATAGTATATTGGCTGGTCCTTGCCGTCTTCCGCTCTTCTTACGAGGACCGAGCTTACCGCCTGATGAGACACCGCCAGGTAAAGGAAAAGGCGTTCCCCATTGATGGGCGCGCTCAGCACAGGGGGGGATGACAGTTGCTCTTTGAGGCGTACAAAAGCCTCATTGCATTCCTCGCTCCATTTGAACCGAGTGGTTGATTTTTTTTAGGACCTGAAAAAATGGGGAACACTTGTCTGCTGAGCGGGGTATAAACCGGCTTAAAGCCGCCATCTTTCCGTTGAAAGCCTGTATTTCCTTGATTGTTCTCGGGGCCTTGAGTTGCAAGATTGCCTCGATCTGTTTTGGATTGGCTTCAATTCCCCGCTTTGTGATCAGAAAACCCAAGAACTTCCCCGCCTCGGCTCCGAACACGCACTTTGTCGGGTTTAGGCGCAACCCGTGTTTCCGCATATTCGTAAACGTTTCCCTCAAGTCTTGTAAGTGGGTTCCCGCCTCCTTGCTCTTCACCAATACGTCATCCATATAGGCCTCTACGTTCCGCCCTATCTGGTTGCGTAGCACTGCGTCCACCATCCTCTGATATGTTGCTCCCGCATTCTTCAAACCAAAGGGCATGACTACCCAGCAGTAGTTTCCCGTGGCCGTCATGAAGGCGGTTTTTTCTTGATCCTCCTCAGCGAGACTAATTTGATGATATCCTGAGAACATATCTAGAAAACTCAACATGGAGTGATTGGCTGTGGCGTCAATGAGTCGATCAATTCTCGGGAGCGGGTACGCATCCTTTGGGCACGCGCTATTCAAGCTGGTGAAGTCAACACACATACGCCACAACCCTGAGCTCTTCTTAACAAAAACTGGGTTTGCAAGCCAGGTGGGGTACCTCACTTCTTTGATGAAACCCGCCTTGAGTAGTTTTTGGATTTCTTCCTCCAGTGCCATTTGCTTCTCGACCGATATGTTTCTTCGCTTCTGCTTTACCGGACGCGCGTTTGGCTTCACTGCGAGGCGGTGCTCCGCGAGCTCGCGTGGCACGCCCGGCATGTCCTCCGGTCCCCAGGCGAAGAGGTCGGAGAATTCTTGTAAGAGGAGAAGCATGCTCGCGGCCAACTCAGGTTGTAGGTGCGCCGATATACGCACCGTTTTATCCGGCTCGTTCTCCAGCAGGGGTAGGGCCACATCCCCTTCTAACGCCTCCGGCCTTGGATGGTCCCCTCTTGTGTCCACCAAGTCTACCTCTAGTTGTTTAATGGTTGCTTGGTAGCATTCCCGGGCCTGTTGTGTGTTTCCCTTTACGCATCCCACTCCGTCTCCCACCGTAAACTTCAGTCTTTGATGACATGTAGATGCCACCGCTCCAAACGTGGCGAGGAAGCTACGACCAAGAATGGCGTTGTACGCCGACGGGCAGTCCGCCACGTAGAACTCCATTGCTTTCGTCTTGGTTACGTTTCCCTCGCCGATCGTAACGCGTAGGGTGACTACGCCTAAGACCTTTATTTTGGACCCCGAGAAACCCACCAACTGTGTCGTGGACGGCTTGAGGTCTTCAACTCCCTTCTTCATGCTTTTGAGGGTCGAGAAAATCAGAATGTCGGCGGAGCTCCCGTTGTCAATAAGCGTTTTCGTGACCTTGTACTTCCCTGTGCGGAAGGATATGACAAGCGGGTCTTCTGAGGCGTCGGGACTGGTCAATTCGGACGCATGAAACACCACTTCAGCTGTCGGAGTGGAGGCCACGGTTAGGCAGGGAGTCCCTTCGCCAGCGTTCCTGGGACGCTTCCTTCCTCCAGAGATGGTGATTATTTCCAGGTCATCTTCGTCCAAGCGAGGCTGCCTCCTCGGGGGGGGGGGGGGGGGGCATTCGGTGGTGAAGGGAGCCTCCCCCTTTCCTTTTGATCTCTGGACCTTGACCTCCGGGGCGACCTCGACCTTCTTCCTCGGGACCTGGATCGTGGCCTCCACGGAGATCTGTTCCGATACCGCCTCAGAGCGGGCGATCTGGATCTTTCTCGTTTTTTGGCCTCCAACCTGCTTCGTAGGTCGCCCGGCGCCAGATTCGCGAGGCTCAACTGGAAATCTCGATAGTCCACGGTGTTGTGTGAAGTCTTTTGATGCCAGTCGCACCACCTTCTGAACACAGGGGCGTCTGGCTGCCTCTGCGTATCGTAGCGTGCTCTTTCCTCTTGCTGCTTTCGAGGCGGGATCTCATTCCTGCGGCGTTCCGTGGTGTAAACCTCCTTTTTGCTTTCTCCCGCTCTTCCCTTTGTTTTGTAATTATGTCGTTCCGGCGTTCGTCCTCTGCGGGGCGGTGATCTGTTCCCTTTCCGCGCATCTCTTCCTCTTCCCCCCCGGTCGGTGGCGGTCAGAGCTTCCTCCAACGTAATTGCCCGCCTTACCAAATTGTCTAAGTTCGGCCAGGTCTTGATATCTTGTTCCTTCTTGATCAGCGCTCTTTGGAGCTCCTTGCTCTTTGTTGCCATCCTCAAACTTCCCGCGGCTACATTTGGGGTCACGCCTTGTATCTCGCAGGCGATGGTGTTCCACCTATCGTAGAAGTTGGTCAAGGTTTCCCCCTCACCTTGGGTGCAATTGATAAGCGCAGTGACCGTGAGACGCCTTCGAATTTGGGAGGCGAACTTTGATGCGAACAGTGTCGCAAACTGCTCGAAGTTGTCTATGATTCCTTCTGGGAGAGATGTATACCATGTTCTGCACCGTCCCCCAAAGGTGACTGGGAAAGCCTTACATAAATCCGCATCCGTGGCATTTATTAACTGCATCTTCATCGTGAACGCACTCAGGTGGTCGTTCGGGTCGGCATCCCCGTTGTAAGTTGGTAGTCCTAACGATGAAAAGTTTGGAGGAACCGGGCTTCGGAACAACTTTTTGGAAAGCGGGTTATGTAAGATACTGGGCCCCTTCGACTTTCCGCTTCCCCTCCCGAAGCTCGTTTGCAAGTGCTCCTCTAGGAAGCTTAAATCCGCCTCCGGCCTTTCTTCTTCAGTTTCTTCGTCTTCCGAATCCTCTATCTCTACTGCTTTTTTCTTCCCTTTGTCCCTCGGCGTTGCGGATGGTCCGGGCTCTTCCTCACGCCTTAACCCTTCTTTTATTAAGGAGAGTATCTGGCTGATACTCCCTCGCATCTGTGTGATCTGCTCCCCCTGGTTTTTCACCCGGTCTTCAAGTTCTATCTCTTCCTCGATGTTTGGTGACAAGCCTCGGAGCGTGACCCTTTCGACGACCTCCTTCATGGGAGTGATGGAGTCCCCTGACATCTCAAGAAGCTGTAGAAACCTCAACGGCCCCACGGTGGGCGCCAAATTGTTTACGCCTAGAAAGTGCCAGGCGGTTTAGATGAAGAGCAACGAGGGATCCACGTACTTCTTGATATGCGGGCCTCCGTTTCCTGCAGCAAAGGTCCGGGGGCGTTGCCCAGGGACACTCTCCGATGCTTCAATTAGTATAGTGGGATTAATAAAGCGGTTCTGGGAAAATGATGAAGAGAGAGAGAGTAAATAGAGAGAGAGATTAGAGAGAGATTAGAGAGAGATTAGAAAGAGATTAGAGAGAGAGTTGGTGAAAATGGCAGCCCTTCTTAAATGTGGTGGTTGTTCCTTATTTATAGCCTGTCCTCCTGACACCTTGTCAGATCCAAAACCTCGTACTCGTTCCCCGAGGTACGCTCACGGCGTTATTTAATGCACTGTCAGTATTCCGGCCCTACCAGCTGTGCCCTCCTGGGCATTAACGCGTTGCGACTGTCGCGACTAGGGATTGGGCTAGCCCTGCTCACGCTTGGGCCTTCTTTCGGCCTTTCCTCCTTTGGGCCACTTCCTATATCCACGGGACCTGATTTAGAGGGTGGTCCATTCAGGCCCAACAGGATCCGAATTAGAACTAACTGGTCGTCGTCCTTCAGCTGCTGCTCGTTGTCTCTTGCGACGTACGCCGATTCCGCAAACACCAAGTTTTCCAGCTTTTGAACTCGATGTTGCTGCCCTCCTTGCTGCCGAGTCGATCCCAAACATTGTTCTTAAATAAAAACCCAATCAGAACCGACCCATCGGAGATAGCATATTGCTCAGCCTAGCCGATCAAGAGAAACGGCCATTGACCGCTGCATCATGAATACTAAACCCTAACCTTGAGCATGCCAAAATGTAAGGGGAAATATTAAGGCGCGTTACATCTAGTCATATATTATATGGATGGTGAAACTACCTAATTTCGAGGATAATTGATTTTGAATTTGAATGATTTTAAAGCGGAAATTTTGAATAACGTTGTCATTGCCTTGTGAAAAGTTTTTCCCCAACTCAATAAGGAAAATATTGATTTTTTGTGTGTGGATTAATAGAAAACTGGAACGGTCCGAGCCTTCTATCCGGCTAGCCCAATCACGGAACTACCTCTTAGCCTAACTCATCGGCTCAATTTTGATCTGGTAGTGGTAATTAGAGGTGGCAATTAGGATCCAAATCCATGAATCCAATCCATCCACCAAATTATCCATTTAATCCAATCCATTTGATCCAAATCCAATTGAATTGGTGGATTCATGGATCAATCCATGGATTCAAATGGCAAATTACGATTTGGTACCTATATTTTTTATATTTTACATTTTGCTACCTAAAATTTATATTTTTATATGAAAAAATCATTGGAAAATTATATTTTGGTACCTAAACTTTTTCATTATGACATTTTTTAGTACCTAAACTTTTCAAAATTTACATTTTGGTCCAAGCCTTGGATGTCATTTGGATTCATGGATCAATCCACCAATCCATGAATCCACCAATCCATTGGATCCAATCCATTTAATCCATGGATCCACCAATCCAATCCACGAATCCACGAATCCGATCCAATTGCCACCTCTAGTGGTAATACTTCGATTAGTTGTTTCCTTAATTTGCATTGGAAGAATACATACTTGTTATTCATAACATACCTAATCTCTTGTCTCCCCATTGTCTCTTAATTCTATGAGTTCTCCTCAACCTTCCTGATCGGTTACACAATTGGGTGGAGAGGATATCGAGAGATCATCTTAGTGACGGAATTAGAAATTTGAATGGAAGTGTAAAAATCTATACTTAATGAATTTGACCTAACGAGGGGCTGTCAATACTTAATGAATTTGGCCTGACGAGGGGTTGTCAATTCAATTTGATTTGGTTAACCAAACTGAACCCAAACCAGGTTATTTCTCTAAATCTAATCCAAAAATCGAAATCACTGCAACCCCAATCAAAATCAAACACCTTTAACCTCTCGCTTAATGTTTTCTCTTACGATTTTTATAAATTTTCCTGTTTAAACCAAAACAAAACTAATGGTACAAACTGATTTCAGATAGAAAATCGAAACTAATAATGCCCTTATATGTTCGATTTTGGTTAAAAACGAAAACGAAAACCAACATACAAGCTCAAGTAAGGGCTTATCAATTACTAGCTTTCTCAAATTTGTTACTAAATTTACAGTGAACTTTACGAAAAATAATTTAGTCTAATAGTAATACCGCTAGCTTTGAACCTGAAGATTCCAAGTTCAATTCATTTGAATAAAATCTAATCACAAAAAGTAAAGCCGATATCACCTTATCTAACACTAAATGGCGGGTATTGTCTGCTTTTAAAGTTGTGGGATCTATACATTATTGGGAAGGTTAGAATAAAACTTCTCTAATGGGATTAGTCTATGAGATGAGTTTGAAAAAGAAGGGACTTCTGAGTTTCGACGGTTAAACCTCTGCTATTCACTAGTTGATTAGTCCCTAACCAAACACTATCATTGCTTTATTGCTCATCCAATTCTTCGTCGAACAGCTGCAATTCCAACTCGAGCTCACGAGTATAATCATCATTATTGTCAGAATCATTATCTTGTTGAGCCTGTTCCTCAGTGGGCCTCACTCCTGTTTTGTCGTAGAACTGTTCCTTGCGGGCATTCCAGCTCTCACTCACCTTCTCCGCTTTGTCACCAACCAGTTCCTTGGCATTTGCAAGATGCTCCACGTCTTGCACGTTTACCACCTTCCGGGCTTCTAAAGAAGAAGCACATTAGAACACGTATGGGTGAGTTTTTAACGTCTCGTTTGCATACAGAAGTAGCAGAACTAACGAAAACGCGTGTAAATATGTTACACCACCTTCAATTGCATGCTGCTTCGACTCTGCATATTCTATAGATAATTTCTTCAACTCGTCTAGACCCAATTCCCTTCCCTGCGTGTACCGCAACACCGGTAAAAGTAACTTCAGAATCAAGATGCAATTGATAGGACAATTGGTTTTTCTTAACGCCACGTTTTCCAATGTACGTTGAATTACTTGAGAGGGTTTTCATTGACTTACCATGTCTAAGTGTAGGAAGTGCTCAATCCTGGTACCCTTAAATAACCTGTGAATCAAAAGAGAGTAATAACACAAAATCAGGTAATATACAGAAAATAAACCCTGAAGATGGTTGTGAAAATCTATACGGGAAGGGGTTATGATGCAGAAGAAAGCTTTACTTCTTAGCAGCACACTTCACTATCTCATTATCCTGCTCCGTGAGTTTTTCTACGGTTTTAGCAGCTTCTTCTAAATCCAAATACCCAAACAGAAACACATCCTTTTCCAGCATTCTTTGCACCAAAGAAGCCGCTGCTTTGACATCGTTCCCTTTGGCTTCAGTGACGAGGTTCTTCAATTTTTTCAGTTCCCCTTCAAGAGGGGGAAAAAAGGGAAGTACAATAAACAAACCAGAGTTGTTGGGGGGTTATTTAAACTGAGAAAGGTGTGAAAAGGAAAATTAAAGATGAAGAGAAGTTTTTGCTTTGAAAGTGTAGTCATACCAAGGGAGAGATAGATCTTGAAAGGAGGCTTGAATGGTTGAGTCTCGTATAGACAGTATAAGCAATACAAGCCTCCTAGTCTTCTTGTAAAGGAAGCACTGACATTCATATGGCCTGCTTGAAAAACCGAAATATCAATACCCCCCTTGCAAATACGGAAAAACTAGACAGAACTAGTGTTGAAAAAACCGAAATATCAACCACAATTGTAGAGTTTTAACATGATGTCAATAATTATCTGCTGCCATGGAAATAAGCATTGGCTATGCAGCTAATCAGTCAGAAAACCAAACTACATCAATAAAAGCTAACAAACACCCAGTTCAGGAAGCTTCAGCAAAGAGGGTCAGAGAACGGAAGGCCTGCCTAGTCTTAGCGCTAGCAGAATACAAGTGTTGATATGAAAATAGAGTTAACCAGGAAGATATCCCTCCAATCGAGCATGATAGTCAGTAGCCTTAATTCAGTTCACATTTGTCGTTCTCAAGAGCAAAATATCCATGGGCACTTCTATAAGCCGTCAAGTCTTGAGGTCCAGAACAAAGACTTCAGGTGAAGGCAGGGCGTTTTATAATGACCGGAAACATTACGGCCTTTTTACATGCAAGGACATTAAGTTCTCTCGTATTTTTATCAAGAATCTTGCACTGTGAAACAGAAACAACGGAAAGCCTTACCCGGGAAAAGAGAGAGAGAGAGAGCGAGAGAGAGAAGGCAAAGGGAAAACTTAGCTTACCAATTGTATGGGCATATAATGACTGCATGAAGAAACCCAAATGTGTAGCAGGAGCGGCCTCATAGATGTATGAAAACTTCATGGAACGCCATATTTTCTTCCAGTCAGGAAAACTTGTCCACTGACCCTACAAGTTTCCATCATTTGAGTGAGTCTCAATCAGTGATCAAAGGAAAATGAAACTAAGAAAAGCCAAATCGTGTCAGAATTCCAATGTACCTCAACAAACTCATTGATGAGCTCATCAATGTCGAGCTTGAAAGGAGAAAGGTTCACCTTGCTGGGCATCTTCTTTATAAACCAAAGTTCCTGCAGCCAGAACAGAAGGAACAAAATCCAAAATTTAATCAAGTTCCCATCCAAATGTCTAAAACCCTCCCCAGCAACCCAAAACCCTACCATCCAGCAAAAATTTAGTAGAACTGAAAAACTAGAACGACATTAACCGGCGGAGACCAGACCATCTAACCAACAGGTATCAATAAATGCAACGGAACTCCAACTAAACAATCTATAGAGTCCCATACGGGGAATTAGAACTCCAGTCCACTTCCCTTGCTCGAAACTTTTGGGGTAAGAAAGAATGAGGATTGAACCGAATAGCAGAATTGAAGCTCGCGGCGGGGCAATTCTAAGAGAAGAAATCAATCTATGCTGACGGGAAATAGAGACAGACGACGTACCTCCTAAGCACGAAGAGGAAGGACTTGGTAACCAAGCCGTCAGTTTAGTTTCGGCCGCTCCCGCTTCAGAGCGTGAGGACGCGGTTCTCTTCCGGCCTCAGAAGATTCGTGAATTATATCGGCATTAATCAAGAATCTTCAGACATCTAAACCGATGAGGCCTCTTGTTCTTGCTGGAAAGGTGAGAACTGAGAACCAACGGCAGTTACAGATTCAGGGGTCAGCGGCAGCACCGACCGGGGTAGAAGCTTTAGGCGAGGAGAGTAGGGATAGCAATGACTCGGGTTGGGGCGGGTTTTGCCAAACCCAAACTCATCTGTTTATTCGCCAAAAAAATTTTGGAGTAAAATTCGCTGGGTATTTGCGGATTCATGGGTACCTGTGGATTTTTGTGTAAAAATTTTGCAATAACAAGTTTCTTTCAAAATAAAAGTCTAACATAAATTTTCTTATACAAATTATTCGGGTTAATTGCATGATTGGTCATTGAGATTACAAAACACGTTCAACTTTGGTAACTCGAAATATTTAAATCCATTGATGGTACTTCAGTTTACTGAAACCGTTCACGTTTGGTCACTCTCCGTCCAACTCCGTTAACTTTTGCTTACGTGGCGGTCAACTCTAAAAGTTGACCGTTAAATGTGTGACGTGGCAATTTAAAATTAATAAAATTAAATTTTTTAAAATTGCCATCTCATTTCTACATTATTATCACTTTTATTTAAAATAAATAAAAAAAACATAATTTCTTCTAATCCCAACATTACAAAGAGTTTGAGCCTACATTTCTTGGCATTTAGTTTCGAACTTTGTAAGATATTGCCGCCTTGTTGAACAGTAGTATTCCTGTTCTGGCAACTTAATGTTGGGTTGGTCCAACTCATATGGTGGTTGGATTAACCAGTTTGAGTTTGGGTTTTTGGTTGGTTTTTAGAAGATCCTCTATTTTCAAAATAGAGAGTTATTCCTACTCAAAAGTGAAAAGAGTGGACAACCTTTCATTGATAGAGAGAGAATCAGAAAAGAGAAGAGATAAGGAAAAAGAGAGAAGAGAGGAAGAGCTGCAGTTTTTCGTTTTTGCAGCAGGGCAGTCTGCTCAAGTGAGCGTTCTGGAAGATTGAACCGTTGGATCGTCCTGAAATTTGGACAGTGAGTTCGGAATTGTCTGGGCTTCATTCTGACCGAAGGGATCGTCAATCTGAGGTCTAGTTCGTCGGGAATCTCTGCTGGACAGAAGGTGTACGAATCTGTTTTTGGGCATCTCTCAACCTTTCTTTGTCTTGCTCTTGTTCTAGTTATCCACCATGTTGGTGAGAGCTATTGTTGTTGATTGTTGATCCAAGAAGGGTGTTCTTGAGGTATTTGTAATCCTCTAGCTAGTCTAGAGAGGACTTGTAATCCCACCAAAGTCTAGTGGAGTTGTGGCTTGGACAAAGGTCCCGTGGTTTTTCCCGATTTGGGTTTTCCACGTAAAAATCGTGTGTCTTGTGCATTCTATTCTTGCTTCTGGTTGCTGCCCGGTTTCTCAACAGTGGTATCAGAGCATTAGGTTGTTTGGGGGCTGTGTTTGGTGAATGGCAAGAATGGATGACTCAAGTGGAGCAATGATTAAGTTGACATCATCCAACTACTCTATTTGGAAGCCACGGATGGAGGATATTCTGTTTTGCAAGGATCTCTATGAGCCAATTGAAAATGGCAGCGAGAAGCCGGAAGACAAAACCGAGAAGCAATGGGAGGTCTTGCATAGAAAGGCGGTGGCAATCATTCGACAATGGATTGACCAAAGCATCTTTCATCATGTTGCAAAAGATACAAGAGCAGATGAATTGTGGCAGAAATTGGAGTCCATGTATGAGAGGCAATCGGCTCAAAATAAAGCCTCACTCATTCGAAGAATTGTGAAGTTGAAGTACAAGGATGGGCATAGTGTCTCGGAGCATTTGAGTGACTTTCAAGGGCTTGTGAACCAGCTAACTACTATGAAGTTAGCACTTGATGATGAAGTGCAAGCATTGTTACTTCTCAGTTCTTTGCCGGATAGTTGGGAGACTTTGGTGGTCTCACTTAGCAACTCAGCACCTAATGGCAAGTTGACGATGGACATTGTCAAGGATAGCATGCTGAATGAAGAGGCAAGGAGAAAAGAGTCGGGGATTACATCGGAGTCACATGCTTTGGTGGCGGATAATTCTGGAAGTCGTGGAAGAAGCAGAAATCGAAATTCCAACTTCAAGAACTCTCAGAATCGAAGTAACAGCCGAGGGAGATCAAAAGGGAGATCAAAATCATTGTCAAGACCAAGAGGAGAAATCACATGTTATCATTGCAACCAGCCCGGACACATGAAGAGAGAGTGCAGAATCTTGAAACGGGAACAAGCTAGAGGAAAAGGTGTGGAAAACCGAGAAAAAGATGATACTACTGCTGCTGCCACAGATGGTGATGTAGTCATTGTTTGTGATGCCAGTTTTGTTAACCTTGCTTGTCAAGAGAGTACATGGGTTGTTGACTCGGGTGCCTCATTCCATGTGACCTCACGGGTTGATTTTTTCTCTTCCTACACAAACGGTAACTATGGTTGTGTGAGGATGGGAAATGATGGCGCATCAAAGATTGTTGGCATGGGTGATATTCATCTAGAGACCAACACGGGTTGCAAGCTAGTCTTGAAGGATGTGAGACATGTTCCTGACATGAGGCTGAATTTGATATCCACGGGAAAGCTTGATGATGATGGTTATACAAACTATTTTGGAGAAGGAAAATGGAAGCTCTCAAGAGGTTCTCTTGTGGTGGCTAAAGGCAAGAAGGAAAGTACGCTCTACATGACAAATGCAAAGCATAGCAAGGGAGGAATCAATGTTGCTGAGAAAGATTCTTCTATTGAGCTTTGGCATAAGAGACTCGGTCATTTGAGCGAGAAGGGGGTGCAAATACTCTCCAAGAAACAACTCTTGCCCGGAGCTAAAGGTACTCTTCTTAAAACTTGTGTTGATTGCTTAGCCGGAAAAACTCACAGAGTTGCATTTCATAGATTTCCACCTTCTAGAAGGAGTAAGGTACTTGATCTAATTCACACCGATGTTTGTTTTATGCGAGATAAAACTCTTGGTGGTGCAAGCTATTATGTTACCTTCATCGATGATCACTCAAGGAAGGTGTGGACATATGCTTTGAAAACGAAGGATCAAGTGCTAGATGTTTTTAAGCAATTTCATGCTGAAGTGGAAAGGGAAACCGGCCTCAAGTTAAAGTGTGTAAGGGCTGATAACGGGGGAGAGTATAGAGGTCCATTCGAAAGCTACTGCAGATTGCACGGAATTAAACTGCAGAAAAGTGTACCCAAGACTCCACAACAAAACGGTGTCGCCGAGAGGATGAATAGAACAATTTGTGAGAGAATCAAGTATATGCTCTCACATGCCAAGCTACCTAAATCATTTTGGGGAGAAGCAATGCGGACAGCTGTTGATCTAATCAACCTTTCACCATCGGTCCCTTTGGAGGGTGACGTGCCTCAACGAGTATGGACCGGAAAGGAAGTCTCAAATGAACACTTGCGAGTGTTTGGTTGCAAAGCTTATGTTCATGTTCCAAAAGATGAGAGAGCAAAGCTTGATGACAAAGCAAAGCCATGTATATTCATGGGCTATGGGCGTGAAGAGTTTGGATACCGATTATGGGATCCAATTGCAAGGAAAATTGTTAGGAGCCGGGATGTGATTTTTCTTGAAGATGAGACAAGTGAAGACATCGAAAGGGGTGAAAAGAAGAAAAATACAGCAGCTGGTCCAGTTAATTTGGAGCCTATATCTCCATCCCAAATGCATGAAAATGTTGAGGAAGTAGTGCATAATGAGCCCCAAGGTGCACTAGATCAAGAAGTGCAAGGAGAAGAGCAATTGGAGCAAGAAGAACAAGTTGAAAAAGAGCAACCTCTACCCGAACCAAGAAAGTCAACAAGAGATCGCAAAGCTTCCACTTGGTACTCCCCTCATGAGTACCTATTGTTGACTGACGGGGGAGAACCCGAATATTATCAAGAAGCCATGTCTCATGAAGACAAGGAGGAGTGGAACAAAGCAATGCAAGAAGAGATGAAGTCTTTGCAAGAGAATCACACATATGATTTGGTGAAACTACCCAAAGGAAAAAGATCACTTAAGAACAAGTGGGTCTACATGTTAAAGACGGAGGAAACTAGTTCAAAGCCTCGGTTTAGGGCGCGACTAGTTGTGAAGGGTTTCAACCAAAAGAAAGGTGTTGACTTTGAAGAAATTTTCTCTCCCGTGGTGAAGATGTCTTCTATCCGAGTTGTGCTTGGGTTGGCTGCAAGTTTGGACTTGGAAGTTGAACAACTCGATGTGAAGACGGCGTTTCTTCATGGTGACTTAGAGGAAGAGATATACATGGATCAGCCGGAAGGGTTCGAGGTTAAAGGCAAAGAAGATCTTGTATGCAGATTGAGAAAGAGCCTATATGGTTTGAAGCAAGCACCAAGGCAATGGTACAAGAAATTTGACTCATTCATGGTCAACCATGGGTATGCAAGAACTACATCCGATCATTGTGTGTTTGTGAAATACTTTGCTGAAAATGATTTCATCATTCTCTTGCTTTACATGGACGACATGTTGATCGTGGGTCGGAATGTTGGAGAGATTGATAGATTGAAAAAGGAGTTGAGTAAATCCTTTGCCATGAAGGACCTAGGACCGGCGAAACAAATTCTAGGGATGAGAATCTCTAGGGATCGGAGGAATGGAAAAATTTGGTTGTCTCAAGAAAGGTATATTGAAAGAGTTCTTGAGCGGTTCAACATGAGCAAGGCTAAGGCGGTTAGTACTCCACTTGGAGGACATTTCATATTGAGTTCGAAGCATTGTCCTACAAGTGAGGAAGAGAAAGAAGCAATCAAGAATGTGCCTTATGCATCAGCTGTTGGGAGCTTGATGTATGCTATGGTTTGCACAAGACCGGATATTGCTCATGCAGTTGGGATTGTCAGTCGGTTTCTTTCCAATCCGGGGAAAGAACATTGGACAGCAGTGAAGTGGATTCTTCGCTACTTGAGAGGTACTTCTAGAGTGTGTCTATGCTTTGGTAATGGCAAGACCATACTTGATGGATATACTGATGCTAACATGGCAGGTGATGTGGACTCTAGAAAGTCGACTTCTGGATACATGATGACTTTTGCAGGTGCTGCAGTTTCATGGCAATCTAAACTGCAAAAATGTGTTGCATTATCAACAACAGAAGCCGAGTACATAGCTGTGACAGAAGCTTGCAAAGAGATGTTATGGTTGAAGAAGTTTCTTCAAGAGTTGGGCATCAAGCAAGAGAGGTATGTGCTCTATTGTGATAGCCAAAGTGCAATCCATCTTTGCAAGAATCCTACTCTCCACTCAAGGTCGAAGCACATAGATGTTCGATATCATTGGATTCGTGATGTTTTGGAAGAGAAGTTGTTGGAGCTCAACAAAGTGCATACGGATGACAATGGTTCGGACATGATGACTAAGTCTCTACCACGTGGAAAACATATCTTCTTTCGAGATGAAGCAGGTTTGGTCCTACCCCCCATATGAGCTGGAGGGGGAGATTTGTTGGGTTGGTCCAACTCATATGGTGGTTGGATTAACCGGTTTGAGTTTGGGTTTTTGGTTGGTTTTTAAAAGATCCTCTATTTTCAAAATAGAGAGTTATTCCTACTCAAAAGTGAAAAGAGTGGACAACCTTTCATTGATAGAGAGAGAATCAGAAAAGAGAAGAGATAAGGAAAAAGAGAGAAGAGAGGAAGAGCTGCAGTTTTTCGTTTTTGCAGCAGGGCAGTCTGCTCAAGTGAGCGTTCTGGAAGATTGAACCGTTGGATCGTCCTGAAATTTGGACAGTGGGTTCGGAATTGTCTGGGCTTCATTCTGACCGAAGGGATCGTCAATCTGAGGTCTAGTTCGTCGGGAATCTCTGCTGGACAGAAGGTGTACGAATCTGTTTTTGGGTATCTCTCAACCTTTCTTTGTCTTGCTCTTGTTCTAGTTATCCACCATGTTGGTGAGAGCTATTGTGGTTGATTGTTGATCCAAGAAGGGTGTTCTTGAGGTATTTGTAATCCTCTAGCTAGTCTAGAGAGGACTTGTAATCCCACCAAAGTCTAGTGGAGTTGTGGCTTGGACAAAGGTCCCGTGGTTTTTCCCGATTTGGGTTTTCCACGTAAAAATCGTGTGTCTTGTGCATTCTATTCTTGCTTCTGGTTGCTGCCCGGTTTCTCAACACTTAAACCCTCCTCTGCAAAACAAATCAGAGAAAGAAATTATCCTTTGTAGATTGGAATTCACCGATTCTGTAACTATAAGAGACATAGAGTAAGAAATTCCAAAAATGGATACCAAATTGTTGCCAAGGGTTGGTTCTCATCTCAAGAGGAGTAGGAGCAATACGAAGTGCGATTGGCGGCACCATTGTTGAGGAGGGAGACCGTGTTGACAACATTCAAGGCAGGCTTGGAGGAGTCGGAGCTCAAAACCTTTCGGCGGAGGTTGTTGAAAATCTCTCGAATTACAACTTCGAACGCCGCCTCAACGTTGGTGGAATCCCGGACAGAAGTCTCCATGAAAAACAAACCCTGCTCTTCCATTCCACCACCCTCTTGCCTTCCTCTTTGCTCACTTTGCGTATGTCGTCCAGGTCGCACTTGTTCCCCACCAGCATCTTCCCCACCGTCGTATCGCAGTGCACTGCCAACCCAACCCAAGCAAAGCAAATATGATCGATTCAATTACTACTAATCAATCAAGATTCAAGATTAGCGATAGGGTTGGAAATGAGATGTGCATACGGGAGAGCTCCTGGAGTCAGCGGGTGACACTGTCGAAGGTGGTTTGGCGGGTGATGTCGTAGACAACAAGAGCATCGACGGCGCCGCGGTAGTAGGCGGAGGTGACGGCCCGGAAGCGCTCCTACCCCAACAGTGGAAGCGGCAGCGATGGCGACTATCGGTATGGGGGATTATAAGAAATTAGGATTTTTATTTATTTTAAATAAAAGTGATAATAAGGTGGAAATGAGATGGCAATTTTGAAAATTTTAATTTTATTATTTTTAAATTGCCACTTCACACATTTAACGGTCAACTTTTAGAGTTGACCGCCACGTAAGCAAAAGTTAATGGAGTTGGACGGAGAGTGACCAAACGTGAACGATTTCAGTAAAATGAAGTACCACCAATAGATTTAAATATTTCGAGTGACCAAACTTGACGCTTTTTGTAATCTCAGTGACCAACTATGCAATTAACCAAAAAAAAAAAAAAAAAAAGACAACCATTATTTGAAATCGTCTATAGCAGACTGTGGAAGCAAGTATTCAACAGTACAATGTAACCTAATCATATTGCTGGCGAAACATCTGACTTCTTATCTTCGATTCTCTTCGAACGTGATAATAACGAGAAACGATGTGCTGGAATTTGTCGGCAAACTTGTGGGCATGTTTCAAAATAGTTCCACGGTGGATGTTGTAGGGCAAAAGCAGCAAACGCAGTGCCATATTCATTCGAAATCCCTTCATCCACATACTATATTGAACAACATTGAGACCGTATAACAATTTGTTAATGCAGCAGAAAAAAAAAGTTTATTCAATTGATACAAAATATATCGCACCGGAACATCACAAGTGTCAAACAGCTCACCCCCGCAACATCCATTGGCAGACCCACACTCCAGAATCTTGTGGACTGTAACCCACCCAAAAAAGCAAAAATTATATGCATTAAGAGCATAAAGGAATTTTTTTACACGATATGAAGTAAAATTGAGATGATATGTACTTACACATCTGCATAGGGTTCTCCATAAGGTTTGATAATGTCAAAATCTGAAATTTTAAGGATTTGTCCATCCACTGAGCACAGAAGAGGAGCTAAGTTGTCCAAAAGTTTCATCTGTGGATAATACAGTAGAACACGGGTGAAATGCAGGATAAAGCTTATGAAAAAGAGTGTAAAAGGACAGTTTGAAACAGATTACCCCTGCTGTTACAGCTTCTTCACGAATAGCTATGCGATCTTCCAGGAAATATGGTTCTAAAATCACTGCTACTTTGGATTTCATATCGACAACCAACAAATAGCAGTCACATTCATCCTTCAAGGGGATAAAAACCTAAGCAAATTACAATGCTATCTATGGAAACAACACTTATTAAACAAAGAATAAAATACAACCTTTTTAATCTTAGGTCAAATATGTAGGAATGAAAATTGGTACTTGTCCAATGCTTTTTCAGGGGTTAGATGTCCAGCCAACAAAGATGCCTACAATTGTCAGCGACATAAGGGTTACCTTTAATTTATGAAAGGTCAATCTCAAAATGAAATACACACAATCAGGGGACTTTAAACTGAATAGGTGTTAGTAGTACCAAAAAATCTGGTGGCAAAAAACTCAGTTCCGCATTGTCCCCCAGTAATTGCTTGTGACTTAAATAGCTGCAAACCATCGTCAACACCTAAAAACACATACCAAAGAGAGATTGCATTAGGTTCAATTACAATTGTCAATTTAGGTTACTCACAGAAAGAGCTTACCTCAATTGTTACTGCATTCCCTGGACAAAGGCTCAAGAACGCCTTTCGTTGACCTTGAATTTCAGCAGTGTGAACTAGCATTTCATCTAGCGAGAGACCTTTTCCAAACGTATAACACGCAACCACGAGTTCATCATATTTCAAGTCAATGTGTTTTGGAATATAAAATTCCATAGATGTGATCACCTGTGTCATATAAAATTAATATCAGACTTCTTTGTCAATTATGATTGAAAGTGAGATGCTACAACCACCAAAGGGATGGACAAGAGAGAGATTTATGGGCTTTAAAATTTTCAGCAACAAATACATCTCAGAATCCATAGAAAATGCCATTGCAAGGGAACTTAGCAAACATATTTACATATAGAAGCACCTAACCATCCCCTTTAGTTTCATTAACCACACTGAAGTCCAGTTTTTGTGTACTCCTTAAAGGGTTTGATGGGCCTCCTATTTCATAGGCTGAATTGGTCTGGTTCTTTCTTTTCGTATGAGTGAGGGATGTATTGCCAAGACAGACTACATCGTCTGCCCCATTCTTTTCTTGCTCTGGATGACCTGGGTAACTTTTCTTATTTTCGTTCTTCCTATAATGGGAAGAGACAATAGAAACAAAATGCTTCGTTCACTTCACATTTCGTTTTCTCTTTTTCGTTGTCCCACCAAAAATTAAGAAACATAAGATAAAAAACGTGTTCATTTGTCATTCTGATTTCTGTTGGGAAATCAAGTTGGTAACAAATAGATAGATGAGCGAAAACAACAAATATCAGTTTCTTGAAATAATTGACATGGGTTTCTCCCCATTGCTCAGCGGAGAAATGGCACTGTAGTTAAATGAGGTTGTGGGTTCGAGTCCCCCACACGTATTTTTTTTTTAATTTTTGCACTTGTAGACCTACACACGGCCTCTGGTGTAGTTTTGGGTGGTCGCTGAACCCTAGCAGTCGCCCAATTCCGCCAAGTCCCGCTGTATCCTAGCAGCCATCGATTGATTCCTGCAAATTGGTTGGATCAAAGGCAAACAATGAGAAATGCTAGAGACGATCGGAGGACGCAATTTTGCCGCATCCCTTCAGCAATACTTGACACTTGTAGACCCACACACGCCCTCTGGTGTCGTTTTGGGTGGTCGCTGAACCCTAGCAGTTGCCCAATTCCACCAAGTCCCGCTGTATCCTAGCAGCCACCGATTGATTCTTGCAAATTGGTTGGATCAAAGTCAAAGCGAAAGAGAAAAAAATGAGAAAGGCTAGAGACGATCGGAGGATGCAATTCTCGCCGCATCCCTTCAGCAATACTCGGCAGGCGTAGCAGCTCATCGCTCTCTCTATCTTCCCCGCTGTATCAGACGAATTTTATTGTTGCTTGCTCTGGTGGGGTGACTTTCATATTTAATGCGGAGAGGAAGAAAAGAGTGAGCTAAGAGCAGATGCCCACAACCCCCCCCCCCCCCCCCCCCCCCCCCCAAATATAAGATTAATAATAGTTTAGTTGAGTAATCTATGCACGATGGACTGGAATAGTGGAATTAGATTTTTTTTTGACAATAGAACAATGGAATTAGAATTGTATAACATTCAATATAAAAAGACAGAATGAAGTAACTAAACAAGTTTTTATTTTCAAAATTCAGTTTCAGAATTCACTAAATTCTCAGCTAAACAAGTTTTCTGCAAGTTTTGTTTCTCAGAAAACAACAGTTTCGTTTTCAATTTCAGACGTTTTCTACTGTGGCACCTATACAAAACGAAATGGCACGCGAACGGGCCATAAGGAACACCGTCAAATACAGACGAAGAGAAAAACGACACCAACATGAACCAAGCACAGCCTAACGCATGCTACAAACAACCATACAAACAGTTCACAATAAACTCTTGCCGCCTTGAGGTTCACATATTCTAGTTGAAACAAGGCACTTGCTAATATGTACAATTTCGTGCAAGGGCCATGTGAAGGTCTTAGTGAAAAGCACAACATGAAGGGATGGCAACGAGGATGGATATCACCCAACTGAACATGCAACGGCCAAAAGAAAGGACGCAGAGCACAAAGAAAGAAGCGAGTACAAAACTTGGAGGTCCTATATTTGTTGACGTTTTCCATTGGAATGAAATTTTTTTGTTTGAGCGAAGAAGAAGCATAAAAAATAAATAACGATTTTCCCTTACAACTACAGGGGCTGCCCTACATTATATATAAGTGTACAAATTTTCAAAAAATCTCCAGCAACTAGTTGGGGTTTGGAGATAGAATATATTTGGTTAGAAACAATATTTCAAACGTTCCCACAAATACTGAGTCAGTTAAAAGTAAATCAAACCTTTGGTTTTGAAAACTACGAGTATATTTTAAAGAACAAACATATTATGTCCGTTGAACTAAACTGAATGGTATGGATCAGTAAAAAAGGGGATTTAAAACCCTGTTGCCACCTGTATGGGGCCAACCAATGAGTTTGTTACGTACCCTTGATTTCTCCACAGCCGACTCATAGAGGAATCTATAAGTGGCACCCTGTTGTTCACTGCCAATGCAGTCAAAAGCGCGATTCTACCTAGAAGCGGAAAATGGGTAAAATCGTAAACCGTAGAATCAAAGCGTAAAAACGAAAGTTTTTGACGCATACTGTAAAATAACGAAAAATGTGTTAAGTACGACATATACTATGTAAAATATGAGTGCACATAGTTTAGATAAGTTAATAAATACCTGTAATTCATGTCTAAACTCATCACATTTTAACAATAAGTTCATAAACATATTTCTTAACCATAAGCTACCTTCCCCTCTAAGCTAGTGATTTTGGGAAGCGCCTAGTTGGTGAATTAGATTACTCTGTTGAAACTAAAAATGAACCCAAGTACTTGATATGTATCTTTTAATCTTAAATATATCATTTTTTTGTGATTTACATGTAAAATATAAGTATTTTCATGAATAGAATACTCCTTTAGTGAACTAGAAGCGTAAAAGCGTAAAGCGTTTTGGTGAACCAGAAGCGTAAAAGCGTAAGCTTTTAAGCTTTAAAGCGCATTTCAGTCCCGATTTTATACATTTAAGATTTTATATGGAATCGAAAGCATTTTAGTGTTCTAGAAGCGTAAAACCGTAAGTTTTTAAGTTTTAAAACGCGATTTTGACTGCATTGTTCACTGCAAAATAAGTTGTAAAGGTGAGTCACCAATTATCATAGACCAAAAAAACAAGTAAATTTATACAAAAACTCGATTTAGGAGCATGAAAATACTTAGATAATGTTCTATTTTTGGCTATCAATAGTTCAACATGACAGTGAACAACTTCAGGTTGTCTGTTCCACATCTTATACTAAATTGGAAACAACATTTGCAGCTAGCATCTGTAA